GTGTGTGTGTGTGTATATATATATATATATATATATATATATATATATATATATATATTAATATACCTCAGTGATCCCACCATCATGTGTATCTACAAGACTGGTGCCCTAATTAGAATAAGATATATTACATTCTTGCGTAGTTATATCAAAATGGCTCTACTGTCATATATAACTAAACAGAATCAATAAAAACGTAAGCTGAGGCTGGGGCTATAGCTCAGTGGCAAAAGCATTTGTGAGGCACTGGGTTCCATCCTTAGTGCCACAGAAAAATAAACATTCAAATAGTGAGTGAATTATTCCACATACACTATTTGTAAGCTGCTTGTTTTCATTCATTTGGGCTTACAGAGGGCATCGTTCTAGACACAGTCACGTTATTCTTCCTCATTCTTTTGAACAGTTGCATAGTACTCCACCACTGGGATTATTTTACCAGTTTCCTTTAGACAGTTTTACAGTTTGCTTCCAGGTTTATCCACTGTCACTCTGCATGCAACATCCCTGTGTGGCTACATTTGCACACTCATCTGAGTATTTCCTGAGGATGATTCATAAGGCTTAATGGACGGGACACTTTAAAAACTTTGATACAGAGGGTTCTGCTAAATTATGCTCCCACCATCAGTTTCCAGAGCAACTTCTCCTCCTACTATTACCAGCACTGGGTGTTACCAAGCTTTTAAATGTTTACAGTCTGAACTGCAAAAAACAAATATATGTCTATATCTCCTTTTTCATATTAGTGAGTTCCTTGGCCAAATGCAATGACTCCTTTTACTCTTCCCTTTTTTTTCCACTTCAGCAGCATCTGACTCTTTCTTTACAGCACCCTCCTCTCTTTGGCTTGCCTAACCTTTCTCTCCTGGATTTCCCTCTACTGCTCTGGCTTTAGCCATTTCCTTCCTCTGCCCACCCTCCAGCGCTGTCTGTGGCTGTCTCAATCCCCCCAGGTGCAAGTCAGGCACGAGCGTTTTTTCCTGCCAGGTAACTGGAATGCTGCTGGCTGAGAAATCATCCTTCCTGGCTGGAACTCCTCCCAGGACATCTCCCCTTTAGGAACTCCAAACTCTTGAGAGACTCAGACTGCATATTTAAAACCATCTTCCTCTTTAAAGATCTGCTCTATCTGGGACGTGCATCTTCTCTTCTTCCTTCCCTCATCCCCTAGGGCCCCACACAGTGACTCTGTTCTGAGGCTTCTGGGTCCCCAGCACTTTTCCTCTCCCCTCAGGTCTCTCTTCCATTCCCTCTGCCTCGCCTGGGCCATTCAACACAAGGGCAGAGCATGGTAGGAGTCAATCTGGTCTCTCCCTGTAGTTTTACCCTTCTTCTTTTTTGGTACCAGGGATTGAACCCAGGGGTGTTTAACCGCTGAGACACATCCTCAGCACCCCCCCCCCCTTTTTTTTTTAATTTTGAGACAGGGTCTAGCTAAGTTGCTTAGGGCCTCCCTAAGTTGAGGCTGCCTCTGAACTTAACAATCCTCCTGCCTCAGCCTCCCAAGCCTCTGCAATTTCAGGTGTGCACCCCCATGCCCAGCTAAAATAATATATTTAAATAAATATATATCTAATATATTTAAAATTAAAAAAAAATTTTTAGTTGTAGATGGACAGATAGAATGCCTTTACTTGTTTATATTTATGGGTGCTAAAGAATCGAACCCAGTGCCCCACACATGCTAGGCAAGCACTCTGCCACTGAGGTACAGCCCCAGCCCATATTTAAATATTTTTTATTTTAGAAGCTATGTATGTAACATATACAATCTATAATTTTTAAAACTATATAATGTATAATTTTAAAACTATATGTGCTATATACAGTTTTTATTTTTATTTTTTTAAATTTTAATATTTATTTTTTAGTTTTGGACAGACACAACATCTTTGTTTGTATGTGGTGCTGAGGATCGAACCCGGGCCGCACGCATGCCAGGTGAGCACGCTACCGCTTGAGCCACATCCCCAGCCCCAATATACAGTTTTTAAACAGTTAAAATTTTTATAAAACTACATATAGCTTTAAAATTGTATGCCATTTATAGATAGATAACATTTAAATTTATATGTATAACATTTTTATTTAAATTTAGAATTGGAATCCCACATACTTGAAATACTAGGGCTTGCTAGAAATAGGCCGAGGGCTGAGACTAGGGCATGGCTGCCCCTTTTCTCTGTAGTGTTTATCGACTTGGAAGCCAAATGGGGTGTCGGGCTGAATTACTTTATCCTGGCTGATCAGGCACTGTGTTTTGGGGCCCCTTATCACCTTCACCCCAGCAGGACAGTCCTGCAACCCTCTGCATTATTCAGTGGCCCAAACAAGATCTCCACATCAGATGAAGGGTGGCCTTCCTAGGATGCCGGTGCAGCAAACCCCAGTGGCCCTGTCTAGCCTCCTGCCCACGCCTCAGCCCCAAGGCGGCCCCCTCCCCTCCAGGAACCTGGGTCAGGCACTCACGCGATGAGGTTGAAGCAGTCCTTGTTGGACATTTGCTCCTCTAGCAGCAGCCGCAGGGAGTGCTGGATATGAATAATGTACATGGAATTGGTCACAGAGATATCCAGCAGTATAACCACCCTAAAAAGAAACAGGAGCTTTCAGAGGAGAACCGAATCTCTCAGATAATGTTTATTTTGTTCCATTTTACTATTTAAGGCTTTTTCCAGGGGGATTTCGCATGCCAAATTCATAGCTGGCTCCAATCTCCCCCGTGGTGTGAGGCCAAGAGAGATGGGTTTACAATAGTAGGCTGGGGGGGGGGGGTGTCTCGGATCCTTCTCTCCTGTAATGGAATAAGCCAGGTCTCGGTGGGCCTGGTTTAAGGGTGGTAGACTGCATACCCTGATTCTCACAAACCTTTTTGTTTTAAAGAACTGGCTTTGAATATTTTAATAGGTCAGGGTTGCTGTGTGGAAAGCAAAGACAAGGAGAAAAAGATGAGGCGTTAGGTGTATCCTTAGTCCACCTTCTCCCCCATCCTCCTCTTGAGACAGCTGTGGATGGTAGAAGAAAATCCTTCTGACCTAGAGTCAGATGATCTTTGCTCAGGCCCTGCTTCCTACCAGCCATGTGGCCTTGGGCCTTAGGTTATGTGGCCAAGTCACAAAGCCCTAAAAACTATATGAGAAGTCTCCTTGCAGAGTTGCTTCGAGGACTGAATTAGGTAAAGATGTTTAGTATTATAAAGATAATACCTTGTAAATAGCAATGCATCAAATAAGGTATGATGAGGATGGCTGTGTTTGCATACATATTGTCTGTCCCTAGTCAGCCTCCATTACCCCTTCTGGCCACAGCATCCTGATTTTCCTTTGGGAAACAGCTCTGCTTCCATCAACCTGAGTCAGGTGAAACTGACCCAAACTTCAGGGGTGAGCGTTTGACCCTAAACCATGAGAACCTCTCACCTCCCTGGCCCAATGAGAGGACCGTGGAAGTCTTGGGTGTGTTAAGGTGGAAGAAAGTTCGTTTGGAGCTTCAGGCATCCGTTTTCCTCCTAGCAGGGAAGCTGTCACAGAGAGAAAGCAGAGCCGAGACCCAGGTTCCTGGATCCAGCCACGTCTGCAGGTGGCTATCAGATCTCTTCTAGAATTTTCAGGCACCTTAATCAGACTTCTCTGTTTGGTTTCAGCCAATTCGCACTTAGTTTCTGTTGCTTTTTAACAGAAAGAATCCTGAGTGACACGTGATGGTGGTGCTGGTGTGGAGGGATGGTGGGGTCACCTTTTCCTCTTCAGGGGGTTCTGCTGAGCGATTACTGACACCTAATCTAAGTGATGGCTTCTAAGGCCACCGACAGGGAGTCACGAGTCAGGTAAATGTCGTGCCACACACCACGCCTGTGAAGGACAAGAGCACTGCTTGGGGGGAAGGTACCTTTTTTCACAGACGGTGCCCCAGATCCTTCTGCTGGCCAGGGAGAGCCACTCGATCCTCCTCTCATACAGCTGCAGGGCTCCGCTGAGCTGCTTCTGTAGAGGCAATGACCACCATGAGTGACTGCAGAAAGGGTGGCGATTCAGAGGTCTGTGGGGAGGGAGATATTTCACTGGCTTCTGGAGATGCTGTGTCAAGGCTCTGATATCCAGGCAGTATAAACAGCCTCCTGAGTCAGCGAGTCTGCCCCAGGCCTAGGTAAGGGAGGGTCAAAGTCTTCTGGCGGCCTTGAGTGGTGAAGGAGGCAGATCGTTCCCCAGAGGGTGAGACTGACTCTTGCTGGGTCTTCTAGGTCCAGCCTGGGAAGGTACCAGAGCTCTCTTTACAGCAGGGAGTTCAGACTCCACTGCCCATGGCACCTCCTGGTACCCCATACTCTGACTTACTGAAGGCATCACTGACCTGGTACTCGTAGAGGAAGGGTGGGTCCACGTGGACATTCTTCATTGTCCCGTCATGCCATTCAAACTGTACCATGGCTTTCTGCACTCGGAGTGGGCAGGAAAGGGAGCAGGTGAGCAGAGGCGGGAGTTGGGGGAAGGATTTTAAATCTAATTTGGATATTGGACTTGTCAACCGAGACGCAGGAGAGAGAGGTGGGCTCTGAGCACAACTGGGTGGGATTTCCCTGCCCACCACACATACCATCGCCACCACAGGCCATTGCTGTGTCTGGAGCTGGCAGGACAGGGGTCACTTTCTTGAGAGGCTCTTGGGTTTGGGAACCCAGATAAGCCTTTGGGGACACTGAATATCCAATGTGTCCATCCTGGTCCTGCCTCCCCCACCAAGCCACCGTAGCCACCTCTGTCACTACATCATCTGCTGCTCCAACTGCACACCTCCCACTCCTCCGTCCTTCAGCCTTCTGTCTTCCCACTGATCTATTTACCTATTAGTCCTTCCATCCTTTCTTTCATTTTTCCTTTGATCCTTTTGTTTTTCCTTTGTTCCTTCCTGTTTTCTCTCATTTCATTTCCCCTTTCCATTCTTCCAACCATGTACACACCCACCTCCATTTCCACTCATCTACCCATCCATTATCCTTTTCCTTCTTCTTTCCTTCCATCTGCTCACCCACCCAGCCATCCTGTGGGCCTTCACTAGCTGCTTCCTTGTCCTAGACATGGGGGACTAGAGTTGGAAAGGAGAGTGTTTCTCTTAAAGGAATCGTGCTTCGTGGGGACCTAAATGGGTTAACAGGAGATAGGAGCAATCATAAAGACTGCACGAGGTACAGTGAAGACATAAAGAGCTCACATCTGCCTCTCTGAGTGGGGTGGAGCAGAACTTTCATGGAGGAGGTGACTATGGTACCTGATTTACTGTCCCATCTCCCAAGTTTTATTTTCTTTCTTTTTTTTTTTTTTTGAGGGGTGGGGAGTACTGGGCATTGAACTCAGGAGCACTCAACCACCAAGCCACATCTCCAGCCCTATTATTTTATTTTTTATTTAGAGACAGGGTCTCACTGGGTTTCTTAGCATCTTGCTTTTGCTGAGGCTGACTTTGAACTCATGATCTTCCTGCCTCAGCTTCCAGAGCTGCTGGGATTATAGGTGTGTGCCACTGAGCCTGGCTCCAAGTTTCATTTCCAAATTTTTACAGTAGATTTGTTTGTTTTTTTGAGGGGGGTTCTGGAGATGAACCCAGGTTTAGAGTACGCTAAACACACGCATGAGGTGCCACTGAGCTACACCCTGGCCCTGTTATAGGGATCTGGCGAGTGATCCTGAGCCCCAGGGGAAAAGCCTGGCCCCCTGTCCAGGCCTTAGGGCCCACCATGGCCCACTTAGGACTCTCATTGCCCAAACATATCAGAAGATGGGAAGTGCCACAAGGGAGCACCCCTGTAGAGCATGGGACAGAGCTCTGCATTTGAAATACCTCGTGGATAGTTGATGATACTGTTTTCTGCAGAATGGGCACAAATCCTTCCACAGGAGAGAATGCGTTGGGTGCCAGAACCTGATAAAGACTTAATTTCTTGGCTGCAAAAAATTAAATAGTTGGGTTGAGCCCCTAAGGGTCCAGGCTTTTTCCTCGGTCACCTGTGTCCTGGGTCTCTGCCCTCTTTGGGAATTTACCTTTTAGGCCATTGATTTTTAGCCACTCTGCAGAAGTCTTGTCCAAGTTTGGGAACTCAATTGAGAGAGGAGCATCATGTCTTGTACGTTTAGGCAAAAGACTTGTGAACGGTTCTTTTTCCAGCTCTGGGGAAATCTAATTAGAAAGCTCTTATTACATAACCGTATTTTACAGCTGGAAAGTCTTCAATCTTCCGCACTTGCCCAGTCCCCTAAGTGGAGCGTCTTAAATCCTGACCTGGTAGATAAAGGACAGTTCTGCTTTCCCCTCCCATCTTCCTCATCCCTTCCTTAGGAGATTTTTGGAATTTCCGGGGAAGTGAGAGATACTCAGTATCTCCCTTCCTCTTCCATTTTCCCATCCTCCTTCCCCCCCTCCTGTCCTTACTACAGATTCCAAGATGGCGGGTAGCCCCACCAGGACTTAAAACCCAAGGCTAATGCCCAGGCCACATCATTTAGGGAACCCTGATCTAGCCCAGTCTCTCCTAGTCACAGTGGCAGAGTGAAAAACTGTCTCCGAGAGGTTGAACTGCACAGTTAGTGTGTAAGTAAAAAGGCAGTTCCCAGACGCCATTGGTTGAACTCTACCTACCTCCTTCACGGCACAGGCCTGTTCCTCACAAGGGTTGCTCTGGTGCAGGGCTTGCATGTAGCCCAGGAGGCTCTGGGCCTTCTGGATTTCTGCCTGGAGCTCATCCATGTCTCTACTGGTATAGAGCTGGGGGAGGGAAGGGATGGTGGTGGCCATCAGCCATCAGGAGTGGCCTGGATATCAGCAGTGGCCAAGGCAGGAAAGGGGCAGGTAACCCAGGCAATTCCCAAAGCTGAGTGGCAGCCTGTTTAAACCAGAGGTTACAAACCGGGAGCCACATGCCAAATTGAGCCTGCAAACGTGTTTTGTTCCACAAGTATAGTATTGGCCTGCGGTGTTTTTAAACAACAGAAGGATTTTCTAACTTTAAAAATGTAAAAGAACACTTTGCACTGACTGGGATGGCTATAATAATAACAAACAAAAAATAGTAAGTGCTGGGGAGGCTGGGGAGGCTGGGGAGGACTGGAACCCTTCTTCAGTGCTGGTGGGAATTTGATGGTGTAGCCGTTATGGAAAGAGTTTGCGGGTCCTCAAAAAAATTAAGCATAGAATTACCATCAGATCCAGCAATTCCACTTCAGTTCTGTCATCCAAATGACAGGGCTCAGAGATCCTTGTGGGAACATTGTGACCATCAAAAGGTGGAAACAATCCAAATATCAATCAATGTGGTCTCTCCAGACAATGAGAGTTATTCATCCCTAAAAAGGAATGAAGTACTGATACCTGCTACAGCATGGGTGAACCTTGAGAACATCATGCTAAGTGAAAGCAGCCAGACTCAAAAGATGAAATATCCAGAACAGGTAAATTCATAGAGACCTGAAGCAGGTTGGTGATTGCCAGGAGTTTGGAGTGGTGGGAGGGAGAAGTGAGGAGTGAATGGTTTGTGGGTACAGGGTCTCTTCTGGGGCTAATGTTATGGTTTAGATAGAAGGTGTCTCCACCAAAAACTCATGTGTGAGACAATTCAAGAAAAAATTGGGAAGTGAAATGATTGGGTCATGAGAGTCTTCACTGATCAGTGCATGAATCCACTGGTGGGGATTTGTTGGGTCACAACTGTAGGCAGGTAGGCTGTGGCTGGAGGGGGTGGGTCACTGCAGGGTGTGCCTTTGGGGTATGTATTTTGTCCCTGCTCTACAGTGTCTCTCTGCTTCCTGGTGCCATATTCTGAGATGCTTTCCTTTACCACACTCTTCCACTCTGATGTTCTGCTACACCTTGAGTAATACAGCAATGGAGCCGGCCATTTATGGACTGAGACCTCCAAAAATGTGAGCTCCAAATCCACTTTTCCTCCACTAATTGTTCTTGTCAGGTCTTCTGGTCACAGAGACGACAGACCTGACTAAAACAGGTGATAAAATCATTTTGGGGGCTGGGGATGTGGCTCAAGCGGTAGCGCGCTCGCCTGGCATGCGTGCGGTCCGGGTTCCATCCTCAGCACCACATACAAAGATGTTGTGTCCACCGAAAAACTAAAAAATAAATATTAAAAAAAAAAAAAGCATTTTGGAACTAGCTAGAGGTGGGGTTGTCCAACATTGTGAATGTCTTCAATGTCACTGAATTGTTCAAAATGATTAATTTCATATTATGTGAATTTACCTCGGTTTTTAAAAATATAATGGAAAAAAACCCATATTTCTGACTCTTCTTGACAAATTGGAAAACCTGGTAAGATTGGGATCACATTTCTACAGAACAACAAGTGGCTGGGCTGAACAGAGGCCATCTCTTTAAAAAGGACATGTGCTATCTATTTTGCCAAAGTTCTCAAATAAAATTCTTTGTACCCATTTCTTCAATAAGAGAGTAAAACAACAGATCCCTCCACCCATAAGGCAACTGATAAGGGCCACGGGTTTTAAGATACAATATTTCTTAAAGCAGCCCACTGCATTTTTTTTCTTTAGCTTTTCCCCCCTGTAGCCTGTGACACCTACAAAGAGGTTGGGCAGTGAGGTAGTGAGAAGAGGCGTGGTCAGACCTGACTCCCTGGTATGAAATGCTAGACTTTGTGACACTTGAACACACTTGTGAGATGCAAGCACGCAGTTATTCATGGTTATTCACAGTTATTAGCAGACATAGCCTGTTAGCCAAACAATGACAGGATTCTTAATCTGCCAAATGGATCTATTCGTGTTTTCTAATTGTTACCTCCATTAGGAATATGGATGATATTTAGCTGTTAACTGGGTCAAGGACACTAATGGATTGGTACAGGATTGTGTTTTAGTCAGTTTTTCTCACTGCTGTGACTGAAGGACCTGACCAGAACAACTATAAAGGAGCAAAGGTTTATTTCAGAGGTCTCAATCCATAGACAGCTGGCTTTATTCTTCAGGGCTCCAGGTGAGGCAGAACAACATGGCGGAAGAGTGTGGCAGAGGGAGGCAGCTCACATGGTGATCAGGAACCGGAAAGAGACTCCATGCTCCAGATACAAAATACATACACCATAGCCACGCCCCCAAGGAACCACTTCCTCCAGCCACACCCCACCTGCCTCGAATCACCACCTAGTTAATCCCATCAGGGATCAATTCACTGATTGGGGGGCAAGGCTATAATCCGATCATTTATCCTCCAAACCTTGCGTTGTCTTACATGTGAGCTTTTGGGGGACAGCTCACATCCAAGTCATAACAGACTAATTGCTTTTTCTGCCCAGCTGTGGGTCCCTTGCAGTAGCAGGGGTCTTTCTAGGACTGAGAACAGAGGCGTCTGTTTCACACAGTGCTCTGGTGGGAACCGAGACAGGCTGGGATCTGGATAGTGATAGGGGATTCTGCCAACCAGTCTGTGGATTCCCAGGCGTGCAATCAACCCACCATACACACTGGCAAAGGAGCACTTGTGACCCCAGGTTGTCCCTGTTCTTCCCGTCTACTCATTTTAACCTGATCTTACCTGTGTGAACTTACTGGATATGAGCTGGGAGCCTTGGAGGCAGGCGGGAAGGGCAGTGTGTTGGTAGAGAACTTACCTCTGTCTCTGGGCTGTAGCAGTGGTAGTAGCCCCTGAGTGCTTCTGCAAGGTTCTTCAGGATAGCCTGCAGAATGGCCACAGGATCAGTCCTTGCTAGCTAGGGTAACACCAATGCTCAGACAAGCCCCCTCCTGGCCTGGACCTGCCAGCTCTCCAATGCTTCCCATTTTACCAACAGGAGAGGTAGGTATAGGGAGGGTGTCTGGTCCACAGTGTGGGAGTTCTGCCCAGTCCTGAAGCCTCAAAGGCCAGCCCAGCTCACTATCGCCAAATCCAAAGGGAACCCAGGAGAATCCCAAGTGCTTACAGAGGGGACCTGATCATCGCATCTGTAGGTGATGACTTGGGTGATGAGGTCCCTTCCCATGGAGGATTGTTGGATGTAGTCAGACAGGATTTCAGAAGGCTGGTCTGGGCTGGGGTGGGGGGGAACACAGAAGAGGAGAAGAAGATGCCCCAGGTCAAATCACCTTGAGAATATGCCACAGCCAAATGGTAATTCCCAGGGAACATCTACTCATTCTGAACTGACCACTGTGACTCAGGACACCTGTGTAAGGTGCAGGGCTGGGTGGACCCTAGGCCCAGCTGCCCTGCCCTAGCTGTGGGTGGGTGACCTGCAAACATGATCCTCTCTTGAGCATGTGTGGAGAACCACACATGGTGATCCTTCCTCACACAGTGTTTTGTTTTTTCAACCCACTTCACGTAGTTTGTTACCCACTTAGGAAAAGAGGACCTACCAGCTTCCCATTATAATCACCAGAGAATCCAGCCCCTTCAGTGTGAAGATTTTCTTCAGGGCTTGTAGTAAATTGCTGCCTCCCTCAGGCTGCTGTTCCTTTACCCAGAGCTTGAGTTCCTGGAGGCTGGGAAGACACAGCAGCAGCAACCTGATTACACTCATGCACCGCGTCATGACCAGAACCTTCTGAAAAACTTTGGTGATTTTGATGTTAAGTGTGCATCACGGAATGGACATACACAAACCAGAGGGTGTGTCCTACTACACACCTGGATCCTGTGGCAGTGGTATGCAGTGTAGCCTATTGCTCCTGTGAGCAAAACCACAGGAAATCAAACCAATCATGCGAGGAAGGGATGTAATGGAGAGATGAGGTGCTCCTGGTGGAAACTGCACAGTGTTTTGCTATGAAGGAATGTGCTCCAAACCTCCAGAAGAGGCACAGCACAGGGACTGGTGTGTGGTTCAATGGTGGAGTGTTTGGCTAGCATGCACGAAGCCCTGGGCTTATCCCAGAATCACACCCACACAAAGGACAGCATAGTAGACACATAAACTGGAAAGATAGTCATCTATTATCATTTCCTGTACTATACAGAATTGTATGTGCTCTATTTTTCTTTATTTTTGGTACCAGGGATTGAAGACAGGGGTGCTTTACCACTGAGCCATAGCCCCCTTTTTATTTTTTATCTTGAGACAGGTTCTAAGTTACTTAGGGCCTCACCAAGTTACTTAGAGCCTCACTAATTTGCTGAGGCTAGCCTTGAACTTTCAATCCTCCTGCCTCAGCCTCCGAGTCACTGGGATTTAGAGTGCACCAGTGTGCCCAGCTGTGTTCTCTTTTTATACGTCTGGCAGTGCAGTATTACCACAAATGCATGAGTATTGCACTGTTACAACAGCTATGTCAGTAGGTGGCAGGAGCCTTTCATCTCAGTTACCATCTTATGGAACCGCGTCTCATATGTGATCTACCCTTGAACAAACTGTCTCTGTGTGGACTCTTACCAGGTGCCAGGTTTAGGACAAATATTAGCTCATTTAAGCCTAATAATAACCATTGTGGTAGGTGCCTTTATTCCCATTTTATAGATGAGGCTTACAAACTGAGGCTCAGAGTTAGGACTGGTCCATGGTGATACTAAAAACAACTGGTAAAAACAGATTTCAAATCAAGTCTGACTCTAGAACCTGAGCTTGCTGTGTCTCTGCTGTTTGAGGGGCTGAGGCTGAGTCCCTTTCTCTTACCACACCCACCCAACTTTCCTGGAATCTAGAGTTCAGTGTGAAGCACAAAACTAATCCCATAACCCTGAGAGCTGGCATGTGGCCAAGGAAGAAGTCCCATCTCACGGGGGACTTAGCTGCACAGCCACATGCCACACGGGGCACTAAGGGCAACATTCTGCCCTTTCCACTTTTTTAAGCTGACAAAGGGAAAATTGGGCTGGGGTGTGGCTCAGTGGTGGAACACTTTTGGTGGTGCTAGGGTGTTCCATCCCTAGCACCACCAAAAGGAAAAAGAAAAGAAAGTATATCTCCATTTGGTGCTAATGAGACTGTCACTTGTTACTTTAGCTGTCCGGTCACCTCCCTGTGCCCCACAGCATTCGGACAGAACCCCACTCTAGCCAAGCACTCTGCTAATCCAAGTCTCCCTTTGAACAGAGAGAACAAGTCCCAGCCTAGCACCTTCTCTAGCCAATCAGTTTCTAGCTGGAATTCAACATTTCATTATATTTATTTTTATGGTTACTGTCTAATTATGGCAAGTGATGTGTGATTCTTGGTTATAGACTTGATAGAAAATTGCCTTCAATAATAAATAGAGTTAATATAAAGATCTAGTAAAAGTGCCACACTGTGGCAGGGATATGACATAGGGACATGATAAGGGAAGCCCAGGAGTGACTGGAGTTGAGGAACTCAAGTTCCAGGGAATGGGGACCCAACTGGAGTGCAAAAGAGAGTACAAAATGCTCACGTTCACTGAGCACCTGTCCCGGCCAGGTACCTATTTCTCATTTCATCGTGACAACTCTGTGAGGAGTTGGTACCACTGGCCTCGTTCTGCAAACGAGAGTTAGAGGACTTGTCAGATTCCACCAGAGACCATCAGAGCCAGGGTCCTGCCAGAGCTGCCCAAGCCAGGCCATTTCTGTATGTGGAAGGATTCCCTTTCACAGCTGGTGCTGCGGAAGGGGGTTTCCTTTCCAGGAATTTAAGCTGGGAACCCAATCTGGGCTCTATTTTCTCAGGTGTCAACATTAAGACGACATCCACGAGAAGCACCCAGCATCACACCCACTACATACTAGGTGACATCCTCTTGATGGAAAAGAGGTTTCTACATACTGGCACAAGTAGGAATTCATACAAACCTCCTTTCCACCCCACAAAACTCCAAACGAGAATCCCCCAATAAAGGACAGGTATGCAGAAGAATTCTTCATAGCCATCAAGAAGAGCGAGACGGATCTGTAGGCACTGCTAGAGTGGGTGAATGATCAAGGTGCCGAACAACGTTACCTGCTCCCACTTATGTTCAAATCACACAAATGCATGAATATTCAGACTGTCTGCAAAAGCACTCACATGTCCTGTCCCTGTGTGAGTATGAGTATAACCAGAAGGCGGGCACAGTGTGCACACTGGTATTGCCAGCTACTCCAGAGACAGAGGTGGGAGGATCCCCTGACCCCAGAAGTTCCAGACCAGCCTAGGCAGCACAGGGAGACCCCTGATAAACCAAACTATCATAGGGAAGTGAGAAGGAAGCTGGAGTGAGGGGGAGACTCATTATTATTTATGTTTCCTACTATTTGAATTTTTAAAAACATGCATGTTACTTTCATAATAATAAACCTATCATTGCTAATTTGCTGGACAAAAATCATGCCTTGTAAGTATCTTGTCTTTCATTTTGTGGGCTGGTCATTTGCGCAGTGACCATTTTTCCCCCCAATTTTTGGCTGGCTGAGCTTCTGCTTTTGTGAACTGGTCACTTTGTATTCACTTATGGGGTCCACACTCGATGAAGAAGACACTGACGCTTAAGGAGGAAAGCAAAAAGTCCTCGTGGAGGCTGGGTAGCACTCACGTGAAGGTGCTGACTTCCACGGGGTCTGGCCAGAGGGGATTGATGGTGGTGCCAAAGGACAGGACATACAGCTTCTCTTTGAGGCTCAGCTGCTCATCGATGAGGCTCTGCCAGACAAAAGGACATCACTGGCTCACAGAGCCAGGGGCCACGTGGAGCCTGGTGTCACCCCTCCAGCCTTAGCGGGACCCTCTGGGATGGGGCGTGAGCTGTGCTGAAATGCAGGCTCTGAGCCTTGGCTTGGTGGCCATCCCCGAGCTTCCAGCCCACTGGGTCTCACGTGGTGAGGGGAGCTGGCTGGCCGCCTGTCTCAGCATGCGCTGTGGCTAGACCGCGGGCACCTAGCTGCCACATGGGGTGGGGGTTGGGGGGTGACAGCGGCATCATTGAAAGGCATGAGGGCTGGCAATGGAGCCATGAGCAAAACACCAGCCCATTCAGTGCCCTCAAGCGGCAGCTCCTCCCTCCTCCCTGGTCAACTAGAAATGTCACCTTCCTGCCACCAACATGAGCCTAACGTTAGACCACCAGGCCTGGGGAATCTTTGGAAACGCAGCCCTGAGGACTTATCATGAGAGGAGCTTGCATAGACATCTGTCCCCTGACACCCAGAACAGGGGACGAGTCTGGACAGTTGCACAAGCTGGGCCACATTGAGCCTGTGCCTGGCTTGATAAGAGAGGGGTTTTGCTGCTGTGGTCTCCCTAAAGCTCTAGGGATTTCCATAATACCCCTCCACCTCCCCTCAGAGACTACAGTGGTTTCTGTCTCTGCCAGGTCTGCACTTTATTGGAACAAACTCCTTCCGTGTGGCCCTGTTAGGCAGCTGTTGTTCTTGTTCCCATTTCACAGAGAAGGTAGTTAAGCACTGGAGACCTGAGATGCCAGGGTCCATGGTCCAGTTGGGGGTTTGGGTTTGTCTCATCATCTGACTTTAGAGTTCTGAGCTTTTCTACTCTGGATACACCAAAGAAACCAGAATAGCCCCTCCTTCCAGAAAAGTCCAGGATCCTAGTGCTGTTTTGGGCTGGAGTCAGCCCCCAACTGATTCCCGCCTTCACATCCTCTCTCCAGGGAACTGCGGGCTCTGGAGGCAAAGTCTAGTTGGTTGGTGGTGAGAATACTAGAAGTTCGCACTGCAACTGAAAATGGGGTGAGGTTTCGCAGAATCCAATGCATTTCTCTCATGTAGGTGCTAATTAAGCAGCCGGGTTCTTCACAGAACACTCTGCTTTGCATTTGTTGTAAACAAAGCCCGGGAGGGTGGGGGAGTGACTCCAGGTATCTCCTGTGCAGGAAAGACTTACCATGAAGTCATTCTGGAATTCTTCCTTCCGAGGGCCACTGCCAAATGCTGATGCATCAAGGAGGATGCCCACCCTGGCCCCCTTGATGGAGCCAAACACCTAAAACCAAGAAGGCATTCAGAAATAACCATCACAACTCTGTGGCTCTCCTGGGCCATGCACGGACCAGCTCTGCAACAAGCAGAGCATCAACAAGCAGCAGCAGGTGGAAGCCCCCCACTCCATTTTATGGGGGAAAAAGCAAAACCCCATGTCCTGACTTCAGCTCTGGGCATTATCTGCTCCCAGGCCATGCATGGCAGCCTAGTTTCTAGAAGTTCTTTTTCGTTAGCACTACTGTGCACTCTCATAAAGTGAGGGCTGCCCATTACAGAAAAATCTGGAGACTATAGAAAAAGCATCCTTTGTAAGAGATGAAGTTTGAAGTCTAATGACATCAGCCTATCTTAATTTCTCTATGCCCCTTTTTATGTTGCTGACTACCAGTCAAAGGCAGATGTGCTGGGCTCCACAGCTGCTGTGCTATTTCTGTGCATTTCTAATTGAGTTTCTAAAGGCGATTACCATATGCATGTCAATGCTATTGGACTCTGTACTCTAGTGCCCTCCTGTCAGAGTGGCATGTCAATTGGAACTTTTTTTAAAAAATATAGTTATTTTTCAGTTTTCAGTGGACACAACATCTTTATTTTATTTGTATGTGGTGCTGAGGATCGAACCCAGCGCCCCGTGCATGCTAGGCAAGCGCGCTACCGCTTGAGCCACATCCCCAGGCTCTGGAACTTTTCATTCATATGAAATTGATAGCTCTCTAGAGGCAGTAGGTGCCATTGGATGTTTTTGTCTTAAATTAACTTTACTGGACTTTATTGACTGCTGAATTTTCCTGTTGGATTCCCTCCTTCTACGTTCACAGATAATATTTTTTGAGGGGGTTACTAAGGATTAAATTCAGGGGTGCTTAACCACCGAGCCACAGGGATGAGCGCAGGTTCCAGCCTATCCTGGTAGAATTTCTCACCTCCTGGTCATGGTGATTTTTCTAAATTAGTCCAGTAAGAATCAATCCCAGGCCTTGGGAGGGAATAGGAAGTGAGGTCCCTTTCAACTGGATTTGTCTAGCTAGTGACATAGAAGCTTAGATTGCTGGTGGCCCTCTTTCCCAACCCTGGGGTGAGCCCTGCTGAGAGCAAAACCGATCCTCAGGAAAGCCGAGCCCAGACAAATTGCACTCAGGTCCAACTGTGTCTGGGTATAACTTCATCCATGGAGGTTAACAAGTTTCTTTTTTTTAAACTTAAGCCCGTTTAAGTCGTTTGCAGCTGAAAGAATTGTAACCAGTACAGACAGAATGAGTGGAAAGGGACAAAGAACAAGATCTGCGTCTGTTACCTTCTTGCTGTTTTCTGTGAGCCACTGGATTCTCTGCTGGTAGCGTTCAATAACTCTGTCAAGACACCAGAAAGACTCATCACCACAGTCGGCTGAGCAACAGCCACTTACACCCACAGGAGGAAGGTGTGGGTGGGATTTTTAAAAAAACCAGACAAAGTCTAGCCAAGAGAAAATAACTACAGCTCTGAGTTTTCCAGGACGCCAGGTAAAATCCCAAAGGGTATGTGGAAAGTATTGAGTGCAGAGGCTGCTCTTCTGGCAACATTATCAATGGCTGGCTTGGTGGGATGAGGGGCAAGCTGCAGAGTGAGAGGAGATGGGGGCCTTGCTCATGAGGAAGGTGGGAGAACATTCTTGTATTTGCTCAAATCTGTGTCTTCTCAGATGCAACCACCCCTGGTCTCCTGGAGACTGATCTTAAATGCACAACCAAGGTTGTTCAGCTGTAGTTTCTGGGTAACAAAATATTGGTTTGCAAAAAGTAGCCAGAGGAATTTCTTGATGTTCTCTTAATGCAAAGCTAGCCATTCCGTCACTGGTTGGACAGTAGCACATGATGGGGATTCAAGGTAAAGACCCAGTCATTTGAGTTTAACTGACTTGCACTCACTGAGGGTAGGTAGATTTGGGGACCAGAGAAGAGCAAGGAAAACCCATAAATGTAAAATGGTGGGGGGCAAGGAGTGGTGGGTAGATGTGTAAGTGGTGGGTAGATGTGAGCTAAGAACATGAGCTTCATAATGAGAGGGGCTTGGGCTTGAAAGCCAGGTCTGCCCATCACTAGCTATATGACCTTGGGCAGGTATGGTAACCTCTCTGAGCCCCAGTGCTGCATCATCTTCAGCAAGCAGATAATAAAGCATTCTATCCAAGTTGATTTGTCCAAACTCAACTCACTGTAAGTCAATTCTCTGATGATCCAGTTGCCAAATGACCAATTAGCTTAATAGACTAGAAAATTCCATAAAGTGCTGGATTCACAATTAAAACCAGTCAATTAAAATATCACAGAATTCTTCAAAACTCATTTAATCTTCTAACCCAATAAAAATTGCTATAAAATTTACCATTAAAATGTTTTGATAAATTTGGCAAATTGGTCAATTCTGTGAATGATCATTTTAGCAACTGACTTTTGATTAGCTGGTGTGAGAGTAATACAAAGTTTTGGGTTGTTGTAAAGGTTAAATACAGCCCTTAGCAGAATTTGTGACACATTAATTAAATATTATCTATCATCATCATCATCATCATCATCACCACCTTTCAAAAAACCTCAGTAAAACAATAATTGTGGATCCTAGATTGCTATAACTAGGATGAAAGGACCATCCTAATCTGTTAATCTGTCTACTGATTATCCAGAGACATATCTGTATGCATATGTGTATGTATTTGCACATATTCTTGTACTATCAAATCAGTTCAGGAGAGGGGTGTATGCATATTTTTGACATACATTGCAAAGATATGCCCAAACAATTTGAACCTGAAAGTATTAGCTTTTGTTTTTTGGTACTGGGGCTTGAACCCAGGGGTGTTTTTACCACTGAGCTCTTTTTATTGTTTATCTTGAGACAAAGTCTCGCTAAGTCACTTAGGACCTTGTTAAATTGCTGAGGCCGGCCTCAAACTTGTGATCCTCCTGCCTCAGCTTCCTGATTTTCTGGGGATTACAGGCGTGCACCACCATGCTCAGCTTTAAAAGTAGTCTCTCTTAACCATTAAACATCAAAAGAAACGGGTGAGGTTTCATGGGTTCATCCAAAGGGACTATAAGACTGTAAGACTCATTTGGTCCAACCTTTAAATTTGAGAAAAGGGAAAACTGGGGCTACAGGTGGGAAGAGATCTGCCCAAGCTCCTGGGAGATTGGTATTTGAACACAGTTACTTTCAGGATGGGGAACAATCTAACTCTTGAGCACTGGGTTGTGGAAGGACAACTGAGAAACATACTTACTCAGAAAGCTTTGATTCAAAACGGTGGATGGTGTGAGTGCAGAAGCGCACTTTTTGGGTGACATTGCAGCTCTCTTCCCTGAAAAATTAAAGCCTGATGAAGGGTCTCTCAGGACTGGGGTTGGGGCATATCATGCAGCTCTCAGGAGTGAGGGGAATGGCTTCAGACTTACAGCATGGCTGTGCCCTGACTGATCAGGTCAGCCAGGGTGAGTTTCTCAAACTTTAAACTGTGAGTTGAAAGCCAGTCTTCAGATTCTTCCAAAACTGAAGACTGATCCTTGCTTTCCTGCAGCTTCTGCAAGACAGAAGCCAGAATCAGACAGAAGACTGTGTGTGAGATGGGGACAAGGATGCCTTGGTTTTCTTCACTTGGATACCCCAGGGGTGCCAGATCCCCCGCTAAGGCATTCTGCAAATTCTCCGTGCTATAGAAACAAATGGATTGGTGGCCAGTACTCTGGGCCAGTGGCTCTGGACACCCAACCCATTCCCCATCCCGTGCCTCGGCCATTCTAGGGTAACACCACAGCCTGCCTTGTAAATGACTATGCCCCCACACAGTGGCCAGACAACACAATCGTAGAACTCTGAGCCACAACCTCTGTAGCAATTCGCCCCAAGTAGTCAGGATTTAGTCACTGATTGTTAACTTCCCCAATTTGGGGATGGGGGGAATACCAGGAATTGAACCTATCGGTGCTTAACCACTGAGCTACATCCCCCAGACTTTGAAAAAAATATTTTATTTAGAAGAGACAGGGTCTCGCTGAGTTGCTTAGGACCTTGCTAAGTTGCTGAGGCTGGCTTTGAACTCGTGATCCTCCTGCCTCAGCCTCCCGAGCCTCTGGGATTACAGGCATGCACCACTGCACCCAGCAACTTCCCTATATTTTTGTTCCCACTTCCAACTCAGGACCAACCAGAGAAAAGTCAAATGTCCCCAAACCAGTCATAGAAGATGCCTGCTTCTAATGAGCTCATCTCCAGCCACCTCACACAATACCCTCAGACTTGCAGCCGAAGTCTCCCCTTTTTCATGACAAATTTCCCACTTTCCCCGCCTGCCTTTGAGTCTCTGCAAAACACAAGTGATTTGGGGGGTCTTCTTTTTATTTCCACACTTGGATTCTCTGTACCTTTTCAGGTGAGCAAGATCTGCCGCCCATCATTCTAAAAGGTCCTTTAAACATTTAAAGGACTTTTAGAATGTGAAAAGTGGGGTGATTCTGTCCAGCTGTGGATGTTTTAGAAGAGTTTCCTAGGCATTGAAGGATTGAGGCCATGACAGAGACGGCGCTCCCCTGCTGGGACCTAGTGACCTTTGTGTCACTTACATTACTGCTAAGCTCAAAATGTACATGGTGCACTTGGTGGTGGAGCTGAAATCTGTCATGACAAGAATTTGACATGGGCTGTGCTTTCTGGGAGCCAGAAGGTAGCGAGTCCTGGTGTGGGGCTGAGTGGGCCTGGTCTGCTCACCTCTTCTGGAGCCTGTCATTTCTGCCTTCCCTTTCCAGTGGGTATTTCTGAGCCATTACCTTGAACTGGGCCCTGTCCCTGGTGCTAGGGCTGTGTGGACAAGGAAAGAAGTGCTACATCCTAGCATGGAGAGGTGGGCAGTAAACTGGGAAGGCATCAACATGCATTACAGTCTCAGAGAGGAGCCATGCCATTAAGAGAACAGAGCGGGGGAAGTTGATGGAAAATGACTGGGTGGAGATGGGGAGGCCGATTAGTCGCCTGAGCTGGAAATTCACCTTCCAGGTGGAGGCCTGGGGGTGGGTAGGGCTTGAAGACCAGAAAGGCAGCCACGTGTCAGAGTGCAGAGAATATAGGGTAGTGGGACCTAAGAAGAGGCTGGACGGACCCCTCTCCCCACAGCCTGGATCAGGTGGGGACTCTGAAGGAGCTTCCAGGACACTACTGCAGTTTCTGTGGCACAGAGGTCCTAAGTGTTGCCAGAGCCGGCCACGATTCAGCTGGGGGGTGAGACCCCAGCTCGGCCCCCTGTGTGACACCCTTTCCTCCAGTGGTATCTAAGGACTGTGGGGTGAGTCTGAGCACTCTTTACAACCCGGCTGGGACCCCAGGCCAGATTCAAAGATATTTGAACCCTAAGTGGGTTCTCCTGGATCTTGTGTGTGCCAGGGCTCTCCTGGGAGTGGGCGGGGTGTGGAGGAGGAGATGGATACTACCTGGTGGCTGGATGAGCTACTGTGCCCAGGTAGAGGCATTCTACATTTCCTAGCTTCGTGACGGGGCACTGCCTCCCTTTCTCCATCTGTATAATGGGCATTGTGAAGCTATGGTTATAGAATATAACCTTGAGTGTCCCTGCACAAACAATTCTCCACCATGATCCTTATTTTCCCCTGAGGTTTGGTCATAAATGTACTCCCCCAAAAGCAAAAACAATGAAAATAAAACACTGCTACTATCTTCCCTCTAGATAGCATCCAGGCCTTCGTTCTGTGCCTGAGACCTGCTCTGTCCTCTGTTCCAAAAGGAAATTAGCAGGTATGAAGGAAGCATGAAAAACACGCTCAATAATCATAGCAAAACCTAAGCAGCACTTACTGTTAAGTATTTTCCATACATTAACCTATTTACCTCTACAGAGTAGGTTCATCATCATCATAACCCCATTTTACTGACAAGGAAACTGAAGCACAGAGCACTTAAGTAATTTGCCCAAGGCCACACAGCGAGTATTGGTGGAGCTGGGATTCAATCCCAGGCTTATGAAGCTCAAGTCATGCTTGTAACCATAACACTACGCCAGTGCTGAACTGCTTATCTCCTGAAAGAATGAGAGAAAGGACTGAGAACTTGCTCCTTATGTGATTCCATGCTAATCAACATCCTGCCCTTGAAAGGCACCCATTAATAGCAGGGTCCCTGTCCTTTACTTCAGGAAATGCTGCTCTGTCTCCTGCGAACACTAGATGTCACTCTTCTCATCTTTAAGGGCTGGCTGGGACCTCTGAGCTTGGGAGCATTTCATCTTCCATCTTCCTTGCATTTGAAATCATCTTTCATGTTGGAGGACGTGGATTTTAAGTTACTAATATTTGGAGATCTACTCTTAACCACATTTTAGATTTGGACTGCTCGTTACATATGAAAGTAGATGCTTTACATGGAGCGGTGTTGGGCAATTCTTTCCCTCTTTCCTACAACTCTATCAGAGAGGAAAAGGAGACTCTGAATATGGCTGATAAATTAAGAGTGGTCCTTTGTACACCTGGGAAGTCACCTCACATTTTGATATGAAGTTAGTTGGAATAAAGAGCATGCCATCAACATTTGAAATCATTGAAATATTTCTTCAGCATTTCAAGACGCTGTTGACCTTTCCTCATTTCCTTTTAATTAAACTTGCATTCCCATAAATGCCAAAACTTGAGAAAAGAAAATAGGACTGTTCTTCTGGTTGTTTAATTACCAGCATTAGAATGGTATGGTTTTAAACGGATTACCTTTCAAAGGTACCATATTTAAATTCTAGATATTCTAGTAGGTTAGCTGATGGTTGTGGGATAGCCTTGCACCTGACAACCAGCCATGGTGGCTCTTTCCATTGTAGAATGAATGTTCTAGACAGTCCCACCCCCTCTGGAAAGCAGCTTGCTAATACATGGAGAGTCAGCCTAATACCAAAGTCTGTCTATTCTAGAGCTTAATTCTGTCACGACTCTCTTGCTTTACCAGCACTTTCTGAAACAGAATTTTCTATCTAAATTTTAGGGAATCCTAAAATTAAAAAAAAAAAAAAAAGTCTTAGGAAGGGGAACTTTAGAATAAAATACTTTACAGACTTTGACAACATGATCAGAATCTTGACAGTCTCCTGAATATTTAATGATGTGGCCAAAAAGACTATAAAATTCCTATGAACAACAAAGATTTTCTTCATTCATTTCTAAAGGCAGGGGATTAGAGATGAATGCTTAATTAACCTTTTTATTTTTTATTTTTTATTTTTTTTTAGTCTGGGGATCTTATGTGAAGAAAGAAATACCCAGAGTTGATGGTGTTCTCTGTGCCCTAGCTGTGACATGTCACCACTCACTAAAAGTGCCTTGGTTTTTACCAGTAAGTCCTGGGTCTGGTTAACGTGGGTGACCAGTAATCCATTGTCTGGATTCTGGCTGGGTCCATTCATATTCTTCTGGGTCAATTGCTTCCTTGGATCTCTATCAGTGTTTTTCTTCATGCTACAAAACATAAAGTGATTAGATCAATGTCCTGGACATCGACTCTACACAACCAGTGCCTCCCTCTTTTCTTTCCTCTAGTTCCAAAAGGATTCCAAGAACATTGCTATTTCTGTGCAGGAACTGAGAGGGTGCCTGTAGAGTCCTGATCAGTTATGGACTTCAAGTTCGTGAGACATTACATCATACCGTTTTGGTGGTTAGATAATGAAAGCCCCCAGGTAGATAGATGTAAAATGTTGCAATAACCATTATCTGGTCTCACTTCAAGGCAGACATTCCCCTCTCGATTCCCATGGGAAAAAAACATTGCTGTTGCTGTTTTTATTTGCAAAACCAGAGAATCCTGCTTAGGAATGATTTTCCAGAAATCTATTATCTTGACCATGGAAGACATGACTAATTTGGGTCCCATTATAAAAATAGCCTACTCTTATTTTCCTAAGGAGGAAAAGAACACAAGAGGATAAACACAGCATGTAGACAATATTTTTGCGGGGTTTGCTCAGCTCAGCTATTCTTTAGTTACCAATACACTAAATACATATTGAACATCTAGTAGGTTTAAGGCATTGTGCTTTGTGCTAAGGATTCAAAGATGAACACGGTGATAAGGGTTTCTCCACCTTGGCCTTCTGATGTTCGGGGGTGGAACATTTGGTTGTGTGTGTACATTGCAGAATGTTTGGCAGTGTCCCCGGCTGCTCCCTGTTAGATGCCACCAGCACCTTCCTCCTCCTTGAGATAAAAGCATCTCTGGACATTGCCAAGTATCCCCTGATGATGGGGGCGGGGAGGAGAGGTGCAAAACTGACCCCGGTTCAGAACCAGTGAGATAGGTATTGTCCTTGACATTGTGGGGTTTATATTCTAAAATTGGTCTGAAAAATCAAAATTACACACCGTGGCACACGCTGTGAAGGAAACAGGAGGCTGTCATAGAAAGGCATCAGGAAAGGAGCTCTTCTGCAAGGTGAAGTGGTGGGGGCAGGTGTCTTTTGAGCTCAGATCTTTTTGAAGGGTGAAAAGGAGAGTCCATGGGAAGGATGGGAAGGCAGAGTGAACAGCCGGTTTCCAAACCCTGAGGTGAGGAAGAGCTTGGCCAATCCAAGGAACTCACAGATGAGTTTGGCCAGATGGTAGGAATTTCAAGATGAGGAGAGTAGAATAGAAAGAATATTGAGATGAGGTTGAGCTCTGAGCTCACCCTTGAGTGAGATCCTTCTGCTTTGGAAGGTACCGCTTATTGGAGGTGTATATCCAAGATGGATTCTCACTGGGAATTTGTTATTAGGAGCAGGAAGAGGCTCTCCAGGGGAAGGTGGAGGGGATGGTCATTTCTGCTTTCGTTTCTGTGGGGCCATGGTCTTTGGCTTCTTCCCTTCCTGCCTGCTCCTTCTCAGGCTCCTTCCCAGACTTCTCCTCTACCTGCTTTCCTGGAGAGACTAAGGAGGGTGCATGGCTCTCATGTCTCGTCTTACCAGGTTTCCACTGCCACCTATCCATGACGACTGCCATTTGTACATCAAGAGCTCAGATGTCCCTCCCTGACTCTAGAGCTGTGTATTCACTGACACTGGATATTTCCACTTGAAGCATTTCAAACCCAGTGTGTTCAACACTGAACTCATGATATTCCCTACAACACTCTCCTCTTTCCATTGTTTTCTACAGAAAAGAACCACCATCTACTTAGCATCTACCTACAGGAGTCAAAAATCTAGGAATTGTTCTTGACACTCACTCCTGATGCCATTCCATCATCTCATCCTGTTAGTTTTAAGACTCTCTCAAATTTCATCATTTATCTGTCTCCATGGACATTTCTCCAGTCCAGGCACTGTCACCTCTGTCATAGACACTGCAGTAGACCCTGGCTTGTCCCTCTAGGTCCCCTCAGCCCTCCCATCCAATCTGTTCTCTTTACCAACTGGAGTATCTTTTAAAAACATGAATCCAGATTTGTGCTGTCATCTTCTCCCTGTTGCTCAAAACGCATCAAAGACTTCCCTTTTTCCCTAGGAGGAAGACTAAGATCCTTGAAATGGAATTTGAGGCCCCACAGGTTTGACTGCTGCTCATCAACCTCTCTAGACTTCCTACTTTCCCACGCACCCTCCCTTCTGTGTTCCACAAGGGCCCTGGAATGCTTCATAGTTCCTCTCACCCCAGGATCTTTGCATGTGCTGCCGTCTTTGCTTTGGAACATTCTCCTCCCATCCCTGTACTCTCCTCATCCTTATGTTTCAGCTCATACATGTTTCCTTTGGGAAAAGGCTCTAACATTCCATTCAAGTTCAGGTTACTTTGTTTTATATATTTTCCCAGGACTGTGTTCCTTTCTTTTAAATAGCTTGTCTTAATTTGGAATGATAAATACATTAGCATGATTTTTAAAGAAATGGCATGTCTCTCCCATGATGCTATTGTTTACCTGAGAGCAGGGACTGACAAACAATAAGTATTTTGAGGACGTGAGGATAAGGAAAGGAGGTTAAAAAACTGCCTCGACTCTTGAATTTCTAACTATTCATCCCAGGCATTTGGTAAGAATAGACTCATTTTTTGCTCTTGGTCTCTGTGAACCTGTTTCTTATAACTCTACTTTTTGGCTTAAGCTAGCTTATTTCAGTTTCTGTTACTTGCAACCAAACAAATCCTGGCTATGCCGCAACCTGTGAGACACTATGAAGTTGCAGCTCAAACATTAGTATATTCTCTTAGGAAATTGCTCCATGAAAGAGCTTAGCAATGGTTCAGTAACTGGCTTTTCACTTCTTTTATTTGGAAGATGCTTTATTATCTGGGAAGCACCAGGGTCATGTGGCAGTGTCTTAAATTAAAAACCCAAACTGGTTTGACTTCAGCGAGCTTTTCTGGAAATCCTATGGCAGGGACTGTTGAAACAGAAATGCCTGATGAACAGGGGCCCCTTCATAGGGTCTCAGTTCCTTATTTGCGGGGTGGTGGTGGTGATTAATGCTTTTTAAAATGCATTTGAGGCCTGTGAATGATTCTGGGGGCTCTTGCATGGGCCAGTGGAGGAGACCAAGCAATGTGGGGCCTGGGAAGAGCTCTGGACCTTGGGTTTTCTCATCTGCAGAGTGGAAGAGGGATGAAGTAACCGAGGGCCTACTTCAACTTCACTGTCAAGAGGATCGAATGAAATCAAGTTTGAGAAAGTGCTTTTCAAAATACAAAGTACTATAGAAATGCAGAATGCCACTAAATATCTGCTGCCTTGAAGCACTTCAGCATGAGACTCCTAAGCACTTATTCCTTTCATGAATATTTCAAGTGCCTTCAGGGACCCAGAGAGAGCTGGTACTGGGGAGTAGGATGAACTGTCACAGCCTTACCCTCAGGCCTCTGTACAGAGTCAAACAGGACCCTCCACCCATTTTAGTGTTTTCCACAGCAGACTTCACCATCTGACCTTCTGTATGCCAATGGTCTACTCCTTCTGTCCCAACCTGAGCACACTAGACGTGAGCTCCCTGCGGGCAGTGACTTAGAAATGTCCAGTGCTAGAATACTTTTACAGTGCCTAAAACATAGTAGCTTCTTAAAAAACAAAAAGGCACTTATTGAACAAATGCTTTAAGGGCAGGCCCAGAATTTGGGCAAAGGTGGGCCATATTGCCCAAGGAGAGTGGCTAGAAGAGAAGGGAAAGTACAAACTGGTCCATGGCTGTTGGCATTTTGGTCAAAGGGATGGAGGAAGTGCTGATTTGGGGATAAAAGAAAACCTTCAGCTAACTTTCTGATTTATTAACAGCTGATTCTCCTAAATATTCATCCAGGATAAAGCCATCCCCAGGGTTTGTGCTTTTAACTGCAGAATTGTCTCATGTCTTGTCCCCAGCCAATCATGTTGCCAGAATGATTTTTTCCTAATATGCAGAGTTCCTGCTATCACTACCTGTTTAGAACTCTGCCATGGCTCTAAGTCAAACAAGTCAGACCTTCTTCCCGAGAACCCCTATTTCCACATCTTACTATTTCATACCTACCTGTGCTCAAGCTGTTCTCAAAATGCCCCTTTCCTCTTTCATCTGGCAATAAACTCAGTAAGTTCCTTCGGACTCCTATTTGCTATCCCAAACTCCGTAGCAGAAACCCTGTGGAAGTCTTGTTTGCTATTCGATTTCATATCAAGTTGTCATGGTGTCTCCCCAACCAGCTTCTCTATTGCATACCCTCAGCACCTAGAACCAGGCTTGGCAGGCAGGGAGCAGGGACTTAAGATCCCAGGCTCCCTAAAGCTTTCTTGCTCAGTCAAGGAATTAGCATCTGGGCCTCTCCTGCCCTCTTTCTTCCAAACCCTGTCCACCCTTGGGACACTCACCTGCCTTTATTTGCATTTCCTTTTATTTCTCCATCTGTGGGAGAAGGGTCTCTGGCACTCCAGGGCTCTGCTTCTCCTGCTTCCGATTTCTAGTTGCTCCAAGCTCCTCTAAGCAACTCCATAGGGGAGCCTGCCCTGCAGGAAGTGTTAGCTGGTCTCCAAGGCAACCGACCAAGCCACTGCAGCTTGGGGCAGGGCAAGGGGAAAACTCTGGCCCCAGGGAAAAGTTATCACCTCTTTGTTGTTAAGAACCTCTCCCAGGCAATCTACTTTCACCCTCACTAGATCCTAGAAGCAGGATTTGGATCTCTTTTCTATTTTTAGAACCTCTGGGTCAGCAGAGGACTATGGTTTAGACCTGCTGTTTTCTTGTGGTAGAAATGGAAGATACCAGAGAGCCTGTAATGAGCATGAAAATGGAGATCTTCTCCTTAGACTCCCTAGGTCTCCCTGGGAGAAGACTGACAGTCTCCACCCCCACCATGCCCAGTCCTGCCCAAGCCTGGCTAATATGGCAGCATGCTCAGTGACCTCTTAGCATCACAAGACAATTATCTTCTACAGTGGTTCCTAGACCTGGGTGCCCATCCGAATCACCTGGGCTGTTTGCTAAGCAAGAATGTACATTCTCACGCAGTCGATTGATTTGAACTGTGGCCATTGTGGGAGCATGAACCTTTAACAATGGTCTCAAGTGATTATGATGTAACCAGGTCCTGGCCCATCACTGGGGGCCTCTCTAACCCCTTCTTTTATAGAGTTCAAGAGAAATGAAGTGATGAATCCAATGTCAACCAGCTTGTAAGTGGCTAAGGTATCTGCACTTAGTTTTTCTTATCCAGGTAATTTCTCAAAATCAGTCTTCAGTTTCTGAACCTTTAATAAGAAGTTAGAACATGTGCAGTCTGTGGTAGTTATCATGTTACAGTTGTCCTTTAGATGTTGAGCCCAGCAGCGTCTCCTACAGGCCAGGTCAGGAACAACCACACTCCTCAAAGTAGAAACTTGATCCAGCATGTTACTTGGGCAGTCATGGGCTGGGAGCACCATGTGTAAAGCCAGGGTATTTAGCATTTAGCAACACCACCAAGAGCGAGATCAGAAAGAAGGGACTCACAGGCCACAATAACCCATGGCTACTCTGTGAATAGGAGGTGAGGATCTTGGTGCCCACCTTGATGGAAATCCTGGGTGGAAGAGGCGGGCTAATTTTGAGACACAACTTTGTGAGACATGGCAGGTCATCTAATACTCTCATTTCCCTGGGTCCCTGGATACATGGGTTTTTAATGTTTTACAAGCCGTAAAACTCAGTACTGAAAACTCTTGTTATTGCTTTCTTCTACTCGAGCTTACATGACACACATTCTGAATGTTCTTGTGCAAAATGGATAAAGCAGAGTAAGATTTTCAGGTTGACCAGCCAAGAAGAAAGCTGTGTGTGGGTACCATTTTTCTCAGCTCCCCTCAGAATGTAGACTGATTGGCCCCATGTAAGGCATCAGAGCATAACAGGAATTTCTCCTATTTGAGGTTCTTGGGACCTGATCAGGGTCAACTCATATTCCATGTGAGAGCTGGTAACATTTCCCTAGGCATATGGAGAGACCTTTTTTTGTGTGTGTGTGTGTGGTTACTAATTTGTGTTTTCCTTTATTTCAAGCCTTCATTTCAAACTAGGGAGCAGGTGTTTTTTGTTGAGTGGAGAAGCAGCATGAAGTCAACAGCTCTGTCTTTTGTAAAAGCCTCAGCTCACTAAAAGATTCAAGGGACATGCTGAGGCTGGGAAGGTAAGTGATGTGTTAAATGTCAAGTGGCAGTGTATCAAAATCCTTTCAATTAAAAGACAGAAACCTGCATCAAAGTGGCTTCAGGAAAAAAAAAAAGAATTTATTTGTTTAAATAATAGAAAAGCCAGGGGTAGTTCTGGATTCAGGCCTGACTTGACCCAAAGGCTAAAATAATGTTAACAGAACACCCATCTCCATTCCTCAGCTTCCTTTCTTCTGTGATTGATTGATTCCTAGGTAGGCTTTTCAGGTGTGGCTGGCAAACTTTGGACCCAAGCAGTGCCAAGCTTCTCCCCAACTGAGCAACCCTAAAGAAAGAACATTTCTTTCCAGTTCCAGCGAGTTCCAGGCTTGGCTTCTTGGTTATATGCTACACTCATTCCTGAGGGAATCACTGTGCCCTGATTGCCCAGGCCAGCTTCTGTGTCCAGCTTTGGGGCCAGAAAGTGAAATCAGCCCACAAAGCCACATAGCCTGAGGTAGGAAAGGAGCAACTTTCCAAAAGAAAGAGGATGTGGGTACTAAGCTAACATGCCTCTGAAGGAAGCCAAGGGGAGGGAGATTCTCCTAGATGAACAGAGATCTGAAAATGAGAAGGAGTGGAGGCCTCTCAGTGCTGGGTAGCAAGGCCTTGGTGAGCCACAACCTAAGAGGACCCATGAGTACTCAGTGCACTCAAAACCATAGGCACAGGAGGTCCCCAGCTCACCAGTGTATCATGCCCCAAGTATGGGACATCTGAGGCCTTGGCAGTAATGTGTGGACAAATGACTGGGGGAGGGGGGCGGGTTCTTCCTAATGTTTGAGCCATGGACCTCTGCAAAACTTAGGGTACCCTAATAAATTCCCTACCCAGAGCACAGAGGGGATCTATTGATTTTTAAGTGCTATGGAGGGGTGTGTGGAGTAGCCTGTCTGGGGAAATTTCCATGGGTGCTTAGATCCAAGAGCTCCACAGAACCCAACAGATGACATCACTAGTTTTACCAGTGAAGTACATCGACACTATAAAATGCCATTAAACAATGATTGTAAAGAGAAAGCTTGACAATGAGATAGGAATGATGGAAGAGTAAATACAAACAAGTTGGTTTTTCCTACTTTTTTTTTTTTCCTTACAG